GAGGCTGCCACTCGAGAACCTTTCTTCCCCATCGGTTGTCGGTTCTTCGAGCTATATGGCCGGCCCATTGCCACTTCAGCTTACTAATCCGTTGGGCTATGTCGGTTACTCTGGTTCTACTGCGGATATCCTCATTCCTAAGTTTATCACGCAGAGAAACTCCGAGCATAGCCCTCTCCATAGCTCGCTGAGCGACCTTGAGCTTCCTCATCCGGCCAGCAGTGAAGGACCACGTCTCAGTTCCGTATGTCAGCACTGGCAACACGCACTGGGTGTACAGTCTCGTTTTCAAGGTTTGAGGTATACCTGACAAGAAGATGTGCCGTAATTTCCCGAACGCTGCCCAACCGAGTTGAATCCGTCGATTGACCTCTCGGTCGAAGTTGGACTTACCTAATCGGACTATTTGTCCCAGGTAAACATACTCGTCAACAACTTCGAGCTTAGTGTTCCCAACAACTACCGGCATAGGTGTGACATGGACATTAAACATGATCTTTGTTTTGTCCATGTTCATCTTAAGACCTATCCGTTGGGAAACACTATTGAGGTCATTAAGCATAGTGCTTAGGTCCTCCAGCGATTCTGCCATAAGGACTATTTTTATATGCGAGAGTATTTCTTCTTCTTCAATTGGTTTAACTGTATTTACTCTAGACTTATTATCAATTTCTTCTTCCAATGCATTCTCGTATTCCTTCATTTTGTATAGTTGTTTATAAAACTTGGTAGCATGTTCTATCACATCTTTTCTTGACTTAGTCTCTGCAGAATTGTATTCCAGTTTTTGTATCCATTTCGTTTGAAGAGTTAGTTCCTTGAAGGCTCTCTTAGTGCTTCTAAAGCTATTTACCTAGTCAGGTCTTAAGTATTGTCACACAGTAAAAACTTTTCTTTTAGAATGCTGACCACATAAAAGTTTATTGAATTCGAATTTCGAATTGTTCATGAAAATAAAACTGTATACTTTTTAGAATTTTACTCATTTTTAAATATGGAGTGGACGCTTAAAGAAGACCGTGTTGCAGTTATTGCATTGCATCGTTGCGGTTACGCGCCAATTCAAATTTTTGACATACTGAAATAATGTGAATATAACCAAAAGATTCGTTTATCGTACCATCAAACGATACAATGAAGGCTCGAGTGTAGATGACAGGTCAAGAAGTGGTCGCTCTCGGTCTGTTAGGACTCCAGCAGTGATAAAAGCTGTGAAGGCGCGAATTGAAAGAAATCCCAAACGTAAGCAGAAACTGTTGGCCCTTTAGATGGGGTTAAGCAGAACCACGGTGAAAAGGGTGTTAAATTAAGACTTAGGGCTTCGGGCATATCGAAGAAAAACAGGACATCGTTTGAATGCTCGTCTAATGGACCTGAGACTGAAGAGATGCCGCGCTTTGTTGAAGCGGTACGCGGGAAAAAATATCGGGAAATTCTTTTTTCGGATGAAAAATTTTTACCGTAGAAGAGAGCTACAACAAACAAAATCATAAGGTGTACGCACACAGTAGTGAAGAAGCAAGCAACCGTATTCTGCGTGTCCAACGAGGTCATTTTCCATCCTCGCTCATGGTATGGTTGGGAGTATCTTATTGGGGCTTAACAGAGGTACATTTTTGTGAGAAAGGTGTAAAAACGAATGCAGTTGTGTATCAAAATACAGTCCTGACGAACCTTGTGGAACCTGTTTCTCATACCATGTTCAATAACAGGCACTGGGTATTCCAACAAGATTCGGCGCCAGCTCATAGACCGAAGAGCACACAAGACTGGCTGGCGGCGCGAGAAATCGACTTCATCCGGCACGAAGACTGGCCCTCCTCCAGTCCAGATTTGAATCAGTTAGATTACAAGATATGGCAACACTTGGAGGAAAAGGCGTGCTCAAAGCCTCATCCCAATTTGGAGTCACTCAAGACATCCTTGATTAAGGCAGCCGCCGATATTGACATGGACCTCGTTCGTGCTGCGATAGATGACTGGCCGCGCAGATTGAAGGCCTTTATTCAAAATCACGGAGGTTCTTGTGAATAAAATTTAGTGTCATAAGAATCTATGTTTTATTAAGTTCATTTTGGTATATAAATGGTTAGATAATGAATAAACTTGTTTCAATTATTTTATATTAAACATGTGACAGAATTTATGACCTGACTAGGTATATTTTTTGTTATTATCAGTTCTCTATGTTTAAAGTAGTCGTATTTTATTGATTTATTAGTGATTTTAAAGAGTTTGATAAGTTCCTTTTCTTTGTTTTTATTCTTTGTGTTTATTAATTCTGTGCGTTTCTTAATTAGTTGTTTTGTATGTTCGCTAAGTATTGAATTTCGTTTCTTTTGAGTGACCTTATTATTTTTTAAACTGGATATTATGTTATCTTCAAGTAAGTCATGGAAGATTTGAACATTCTCTGGTATAGTAGTTATATTGATTTCAAGATTGGATTTCAGGCTTTCAGTGTATTTATTAATTTCGTAATCTGTTGTTGGGTTTTTTATTGAATTTTGAAATGTTTTTCTGCTTTTTTTGGTTGGTATAAATGAAATGTTGTTCGTAGTAATCTGTGGTCCGAAGCAAATTTGACTTGATTTAGAACTTCAATGTTACTTACCATGTTAGGTTTATCAGTTAAAATAAAGTCAATTTCATTTTTAATCTTTTCATTTGGTGACATCCAGGTCCAGGTTTTAGTTCTCATATATCTTGATATATATATTCCTTATGTACGTGTGTATGTGACTGAACTCCGGAATGGCTGGACCGATTTTGATGATAGCTTTGTGTGTGTGTGTGTGTGTGTGTGTGTGTGATTAAGTTGATTCGTGAATGGTTTAGATTCACAATTCTGTTACCTACCAGGTGGTGGTGGCGCAGTTGTAAGATTCAGAAATCAACTTTGCGAAGAGATCGCCAATCTAAATATAGTTTTTCATATGGTATTCTATTATATTAATCAATATTAATGTAATACATGGTAGATCCACGCAACAGCTATATTACGACTGCAGTCCAAATGGGTCAGCTCGACCGCCACGCTCATACAGAATGACAGTGTAATGCAGCAACTAGCAGTATACTCGTAATGCTGCTGTACTTCATATGGTTTTATACGAGAACTAAGTGCCCCGTTCAAGGTTAACGAGGCATTTTATCTTAGCTCTCAGGCATATTGGGAATGTTAGATCAATACACAAGATTTGATCTCCTCAAAGTTCAAAAACTTTATTAAACAAATTTTGGATAAAAAGGATTATTAAAATATTAAGGAATTTATGAATTATAATAATATAGTATTGTTAATTGTGTAACATCGATCACTAATAAAAAGCTAGATACACAATCCCATGCAAAATTTCTCTAAAAACTGTCGCCAATCGTTTTGACGTATTACTAGTTGAAATAAATATACATTAATGTAAATTCAACCTTAAATGCATTGCCTAAAGTTGTATTCACAAAGCTAGTACAAATTAAAAGCGCACCCAAATGTTCGAGTGGGCACTCATTCGGTAAGAACATTTTTGTCACTGATAGTGTATTTGTGTAACTTAAGATAATAAGCTATTATTTTTTGTCAAAAAAAAGTTCCGCTGGGTTTCTTGCTGGTTCTTCCCAGGACAGAGGTTTTTTTTTCCGAAGCAGTAATAAATGAAACTAAAGAATAACTTTCAATGAGTAATATTTATAATCAAAATTGAATAAAAAAGTTTCTGTTTTTGTTAGGGTGTGTTAGGTATATGAGAATCAATTATACATCCGTGCCTCTCTCCGTTCTTATTGCATAGGCTATTCCGTTTTTGGGAGGATAGTTAGAATAGAATAGAATAGAATAGAATATAATATTTTTTATTCAATATACATTACATGTGTAATTCTTATTGAAAGTCATTTTTTACTTTACCACTGGTTCGAAAAAAACCCTCTGTCCTGGGAAGGACCAGCAAGAAACCCAGCGGGACTTTTTTTAAAAATAAATTTTACAATATAAATGATTACGAACTATTTACAAAATTTATTTTAGAAACTGCTTGGAAGCGATCACCTCATTCCCAGGGGTTATTATCAACCATGTATTCATTTATACTATAATAACCCTTTTTATACAGTTTCAGCTTAATAAAACATTTAAACTTGGTAATAGAGAGAACCTGTACACTTTCCGGGACCTTGTTGTAATAGCGTATACATTGCCCCAAGAATGAATTACTGACTCTGTAAAGTCGAGAAACTGGTATCACTAGCTTGTGTTTGTTCCTAGTGTTTACAGAATGTATATCACTTCTTTTACTAAAACTATCTTTGTTTTTGTGAACATACATTAAATTTTCGTAAAAATACTGAGAGGCCAAAGTTAATATATTAATTTCTTTAAATTTATCTCTAAGAGACTCTCTCGGTTTTAGATTGTAAATAGCTCTAATGGCCCTCTTCTGTAAAACAAAAATAGTTTCTGAATCAACCGCATTTCCCCATAGCAAAATCTCATAAGACATTATGCTATGAAAATAACTAAAATAAACTAATCTAGCTGTCTCGACACTAGTGAGACCTCTAATCTTTTTTACAGCATAGGCTGCAGAACTTAGTCTGCTTGCTAATTTGGATATATGGGGGCCCCACTGGAGTTGATAATATACAGTTGTTGGATTGATTTTAGTCAACCAGAAAAAATACATTAGTACTAAAATTTTACGTAAAATAAGTTCAAAAACTAAAACACGACTACTAAAAAATCATACTCTCAAAAGTAGATATAGCTCTATAAAATATTCTCATCTAAAATTGTTATGTAACAACAATTTACACATATTTTAATGTATTTAATACGTGTTCATAGTGATGTTCAGTGGATAGCAGTGGTCGTGACGTCACATAGCATATGACCAGTGGACAACCAAGATGACTAAAACGATCCTCATTCGTCAAAATATGAGAATTTTTTTTTATAGTAGGCAAATATCCTTGAGTTAATTCTTATTTTATGTCTTTGTTCTCAGCCCACACTATGCAACGAGAGGGCATGTCTTGGAAGTTTGATGGCGATTCCGGGTCGCGGTGACGTGGCAAGAGACCCTGAAGAGGTGCTTAACGATGCTAAGGACTTTCTTGGACAGTATTTTGCATCTATACGCAGGTAAGATAAAAAATATAATCCACATACTTAAGCAGCGATATTAAAATTTTATAACACTCGTAACTTAGATATGACAGTAAAACGTTTCTGCTTAAACTATTAAATGTTCTCAATTTTTCTTGCTAGAAACCATAAAATAATTAATTAAGAGTGTCAAGGAACGATTTATGTTACTGAAATAAAGTTTTTTTTTTTAAACTTACCGTTTGGTGGCCTCGTCAGGGTGTCCGTCACCCCATCACTACACTACACACGTGGATTTTGTAGAGGCGATTATAGGAAATAGCTGGAAAATCTCATGGAGTTCTATGGATTGTGATATAGCTATCTCGTTTACGCTGATCCAGATCGGTGACAGCAACAGCGTCAAAGATGCAAGACGTCTCGTCCTGCGATCATCAGTGCGCTTGCCATGCGTGACGGTTAAAGCAAATCCTCTGCAACGAAATAGGACCATGAACAGCAGTGGACTTTTACGGACTGCTGAGATTGCAATTGGTGAAATTAAATGTTTTGTAAAAGCGACTTTATTATAAAAAATAATTTCTTGTTGATTGTTTAAAAACCGCTCGACCGATTTTGATAAAATTTTATTGGAACCACCTGGGAAGTATAATCTTTGAAATAAACCAGTTCCAAATCAGTTCAGGAGTCTTCGAGTAATCGGTGAACATACATTAAAAAAAAAGATCCGACAAATTGAGTGCCTCCTCATTTTTTGAAGGCGATTAAAAAAGAGAACCGACATAATCATGAGTGATTTCCGTGACACATAGACATCTACATACATTTAGCCTCGATGAGAAACCAAATTGCAGATGCGTTTGTGCAGACATATTTGCGTGCCTGCGTGCATGCGTGCGAGCGTGCATGCGTGTGTGCGTGTGTGCGTGTGTGCGTGTGTGTGTGCGCATGTGTGTATGTGTTAGACTTGTTAACAAAACTTTTAATGTACTAAATTTATATCACAACTCGTATTTTGTTATTTAGTAAATTTAATTTCAGATCGTTTTAAAATAACCATAAATATTTTCGATTGCCTAGGGCCAATACACCAGCTCATGAAGCAAGATGGAAAGCAGTCCAAGAAGAAGTTGCAAAGACAGGAACGTATCAGTTCACCACCACTGAATTAGTCTTTGGAGCTAAGCTTGCATGGAGAAATGCTAGCAGATGTATCGGCAGAATACAGTGGTCCAAGTTACAGGTATATTTTTATCTAGACCTTAAATATTTGACTTCGCTATTGGGGCGTTTAATTCGACATGCTGTTATACAGGGTTATTTTGCAATAACCGGCCAAATTTGCAGAGAAGGTTGAGAATGAGTAATATAGGCAAATGGTGAAGAAAAATTAATTTGAAAAAATCTCAAACATTCTGTCCTTTTTATCTTTTAAGTTCAAAATGCATAATAATGCATTATTTTAACTGATTTTACTGCGCACTCACAGATTCGGAAGGGTAGATCGGTAGACAAAAACGTTGTTGCCCATAAATCACATTCAATTTGGGATAATTTCAAAGAAAAGTAGAAACCTTATTTACTCGTTATTCCAAAAACTGAAATTCCGGTATATTTTTGAATGAGAATGAATTGAATGAACTTAAGTTTAAAATTTGTCTACTCTTTGAAAAATAACCCTGTATATAATAATAAAATAACAGTTAATATATGTCTTGTTCTTGGGAACAGGTTTCCTTTACAATTTCATAGAACTTTGAAGCAACAAACTCTGTTTTATATGAAATTGAGGAAACAATAGAATCTTAGAGACCACCTGATGACCAGTGGCAACTGAAGCCTATAGTTATCTGCAACCGACTTCAAACAAAGAAGGTCACAGATGCGTTGTCAATTCTGAGGACTAAGATGTTAAACTTCACGTTCTACAATTATACTGGCCATCTATACCCTTCAGGGCGCAAAACTTTTTTTGAGATATTTACTGGCATCGTTTAAAAAGTTAAGGCGAAGGGAAGCTGACTTTTTATTTTTAAAAGACAACCTAAGTACTTTATTTTATTTTTACACTTCTTTACTTTATCTTAAGTAATAATATACACGTTACACAAACGGATTTTAATATTATAGAAAGAAAGTTAAACTGCATTAAATTATCTACTAACATTTAGAAGCTAAACAGCAATACAGTTACCGGTTTCGTTTTGCAGAAATTGAACGTCGAAATTAAGGTGAAGACGGTAACGATGACTAATGGAAAAACTTCAATTTTTTGTTGCAGCAAAAAAGTTATTCCTCGATAGTTTTTCCTCATTAATACCCTTTTACGCTTCCCTTTCTACGCTAAATTACGAAAAACGATAATTACACTTTTGCCTTTAGTTTTATGTTTTCTTACGTACTGAAGATATTTTATTATAAGCGACAGTATTTAATGGTTGGGTGCGGATCTCGAACTCAAGAGGACGTGGGTTAGAATCCTCCATTCGACTACTGTCGTGAACCATTCTTAACACAAACATTTTATGCTTACCAGGAGTGATTAAAGGGAAATAAGAAATGTTAATAGCATTAAAAGTGTTTTAATAATTAAAAAAAAATATTTCATACCGTGGGTTTCGTAAGTATCGACGATGAGAAACTGAAACGCAAGAGAAATCTAAAGGATTCCTATAAACAGGGCCAAAACAAAACTAAAAGGACTTCATATTCATAGTGGCCTTTTACGAGCCAATATAAAGAATAATTCAACCATTTGCTGTCCCGTGCACTACATATAGGTCATTGCTGTTGTCTTACTATTGTGTCCGAAAACCGCACAGTATACTATTTAAATAATGTACGAAATTAATACATAACTTGCTGTTTTACGATAATTTTGTTTTGATGGATATTCGACGTCCTATGGTAAATTGAATGTTTTTATCTCAAATGGCTGATTTATACTACCTTGATGCCTTGAAGAGTACATTAGTAACACATTCCTTAATTATCTGGTTTTGACTAATTTGTTGAAGGATATAGGAATTTAAATATTGCAGTTGACTCCTACACTGTTCTCAAAATATTTTTACAACTAGATTATCCTGCATTGACATAATATACAATACAGCAAAAATACATAATATGTTGCTTAAAAATCGGCGATGGCAGGCATGTGCATACTTATGAGACGTTGCTGCTTGTGTTGGATGGTTTGCTCGGGCTTACAATAATACATCTAGATATAAGCTAAAACAGTTGTTTAGATCAAAATAATAAAATATACGAAAGCCATAAAATTAACGAGCGATACTAGCAAAAAGAATACCAAATAGCGAAGTAAGCGAGCTTATCTCTAACCATGGTAAAAAAAAATCGATTATTTCATGATGAGATCATTTTTATTTCTCATTAATTATCTTGAGAGAGTACAAAAAATAAGAAAATCAAATGGGATATCTGCACTTTATTTTCACTGTTTCTTCTTCGATCAGAAGACCATCAATTTGAAATCATAAAAAATGTTGAACAACAAATAATGATCTTTTCATGTAACATAATTGGAAGTCAGTCAGAATTAAACAAGAGGCCAATTGATTCGTATTGGCCTTCGAATTGGCCTTCGTATTGACGCCAATTGGTTCATAATTTAGGTTACGTTGAGGCTACCTAAAGGGACACACTTTCAAGTACATCGTAAGTACCTTCAACATACATACACCTGCAAAAACTTCTGGGATAGTTATTTTATAATATTGCACAATTAGATTGTATAATGCTACTTGTAGAAGAAAACTTCATGGTTTATTTATATTCAGCCATTATGTTATTGTCTCTAACGTTGAAACAAAAATAATTATCTTCACAGATGTCATCTATTTGTTTAAATACAATGTGTCAATATTAAAACAAGATGTTGAAACAATGTAAGCATATTTTTACTAATTACGTCGTATTATGTATTTACTTAACATTATAGTCTGTTTTGTAAGTTTTTTAAGCAATTGGCGTTAAGAAACTTGATATTAAGTGACGATTTTGAATTGATGTTTTGCTTCACTTTGTCGCTGAGCCCCAAGTTACAACTCTAATCTTGGTGGGATACTTCCCATCTAAAGCGTCGTTATGAATGTTAATGTGGAACAATTTAAATCATGGGGAAGTCTACACGAACAAGAACTTCGGTAGTATTTGTTTTTTCCTCAAGTTGATTGGCCAGACTAGATTAGACTACAGAACGTCACTGCTTTTGGCGCTGCGCTATGATTTACCAGTAGTCAGTACAGAGGTACTCCATTCGTTACTCGGTGGGATCTTATTTGTAGCCTACAAATATTTTCTAACCTAGCTACATAGCTTGTGCAATAAATTACATCATCAAAAGTAAAATAAAACCGTTCACTCAAAGGTTTTTACTATCGCCTTTATTTTATATTTCACTACTGCTATGTTTTATATAATTATAAGAATTCTTATACTCGATGTCGATTTCGATCACCTACATGGCTCAGTACCATGTTTTGTGGCATTTCTTGGGAGAGGCCAATGTTCAGCAGTGGACTTGTGATGGCCTATATGACGACGATGAAGAGTACACGACATTTATCATTTTAAATGTCTCTAAACATTTTTATTTATCTCATTTCTTGTATCAGGCGCATCAAAATTTTATAATTTTTTATTTTACAAATGTTTTTCAAATTATGCCTATTAAATGCACAAAAATTTTAATTGCACTTACAAAAACTTATGTAAAACAATTTCACGTAGTAGGTAGATTATTTTTCCCATAAAGATATCCACCCAAAAGGGTAGAAAATAAATAACTTCTTTTTTAGCAATTTGAAGTCGGTTTTTACTTTTTGTTAAAAGTTATAATTATTTATATTTACAGACATTATCTCAATACTAATTCGTCCCATGTCGGTCTGTGAAGTGATGGCTTAGGACTTATAAGTCCAATATATGTGACTTATAACACAAAGAATATGAGAACTGTTTTACTTGCCTGGCATATCGTAAAAGGCGACTAATGGGATACTGGATTTGTAATTCAATAGGTGGTGGGCTGGTCACCTATCAATCTTTTCACAATTTTCAAACTTAACCCATAATTTGTGGCTAAACGTGGTCTGAGTAGCTAGCTGTTATATGGACTCTGCGCAACCTTGGTATTTCAGGTGTGACGTTATTCTATGATTATTATTTTCGTTTCAAAATAAAAATGTTTGTTGACTCTATTCACATAATTGAGCTACAGTATATTACTTTTTTAAGGTTCCGTGCCCAAAGGGTAACCAACGGGACTCTATTACTAAGCCTCCGCTGTCCATTCTTCCGTCTGTCTGTCAGAGGGCTGTATCTCATGATACTTAATAGGTAGACAGTTGAAATTTTCACAGAACGTGTATTTAAAAAATAATAAAAAGTTAAATGAATTAAAAATTAACGTGTATAACAATGGTACGGAACCCTTCATACGCGAGTCCGACTCGCACTTGGCCGGTTATTTATTATTATTTTGCATTAAAAAATATGTTAAGTTATCTTGTACGAAGAAAAGGGGCGTCGTTTTATTATTAAGCGCATCTATTGCTCAAAGTGGTTTTGCATTTCATTAACTTTGCATCCGATGGAGAATACAAAAAAGGAGCTAAATGTTGTTTCTAATTAGGCAGCTTGATTGAGTTGCGGGCGACATAACGACATTACGAGTAATTTATTCGTTCGCTTCCATTCAGTTTTCTCAGCGGTTGGCAGGGATCAGCGGGATTTAAATCGGTATTACCAGACCACTTTTAAGTCCTTCTGATGTTCACGAGTATTTTCATTATCGCGTTCCTTAAATGGATTGAGGTTAATCAGAATGAGAGATTTAGACTGGTTTATCGTGTTTGGAGAAATTCCTAAAGTGATTCAATTTAAAATCTACTCGTCTATAACAAACTCATGTCATTAAATTAATTAATTTACCATACAAAAAATAAATTGATTTAACTCATAATAACGTTACACTACAAAATGGTATATATGTTATCGCCAATCTATATAATCCGGTATTCTGTAGAATACCTATAACATACAGGCAATGTATAAAATATTATTTATTTCATACTTTACCTAGACATTCTTTACAATACCGAATGTTAAACCGGCATTGTATTGAATAAGAGGTAACGGTATAGTGGGAATGCAAGATATTTATTTATGAAAATGTCGTCCCCGGTCAAGATATGACTAAATCTAATCTAACCTAAAGAAAACTAACCTTTTTTTACGGGGGAAAATCCTCATGGACTGCCTTCGCCTGGGAAAAGGTTTTCTGCACGGGGTAGTGAGGTGTTCAACTACCCCGTGCATCGCCTCAGAGGCGCGCGCCGACACCTGCGCCGCCTCCGCCTCGGGTTCATTGAATAGGGGGGGGTGGCTTCCCCAAGTCCCTCGTCCCTGGACCTATTCATGGGGGCTGGAAAAGGGCGTTTTCCGCCCTTCTCCTGCACCCGGTGCGCCTTCTGCGGCCGGAGAAGGGAGTCGAGATCTCGGCATCCAGCTCCCTGTCTATGCGGTACAGGTATTTGCCGAAGCAGCCGCGCCCCGACAGCACTTGCATTACCCTAAACGACAGGGAGCCGTGCCTTCTCCCGAGCCAGTCCTCGAGTACTGGCCGGATCGCCTCGACGGTAGCGAGGCCGGCGGTAAGGCGCAGAAGCCTTTGCCGCCATTCCGCCACCAAGACCTGACGGAGCTCCTCTCGGCGCAGCGCGATCTGCCGCTGCACCGGCCTCGAGCCCCGTGCCCGCTCTTCCTCGCGCCATCGATATAATGACGCGAGTACTTTCGCCTCTAGGTCCCAGGGCGGGGATCCGGCCAGAATGTAACCTTACCTAAACTAACCTAACTAAATTAAGTTTTCATGGTTAATATTGCTTAGTATTATTTTAATTAATTAATACACATTCAGCATAAGCAAATGCTTTTTTATGAATGATTAACATCTAATATTTGTTTGCAACTAATTCCTTTATGTTACCTTTATAAATAATTTATAGTCAAATCTGCCTTTAATTCTTAGTAAAGTTGATTTTCAGTAAAGAAAAATGTTTTATTTGTTCACATTTTATACTTTACCTGATCTTCTCATGGCAATCTATACCTTATCTAGGTATTACATACAGTACTTATTAAAGGTGCGTGATGGTATACGATAGATTACATATTTTATACATTGCCTAAGCAAACCCGGCATTACATGAAACGACTAGGTTCTATACAATGACTTAATTATATGCATTGCCAGTAACATATATAGGTATTATTCTATGAATCCTTCAAGGCCTTCCCCACGGATTGCCTCATTGGAGATATTTGTCATAGCTGTGACGCTTTGTAGGCGGGTCGGTAACCTTTCCTTTTAATAGTTTGAAGTTGTTATCAGAATGATATCTGTTGCTGCCATCTCCTGTTTCAGTTTTCCGCTACTTACGAAACCCACGGGACGATGTGGGGTAGTGGATATTCTTACACCGCCTCCACACGGTAGCGGTGAAACCAACACTCACTATAAAAATATTTTTTGGTGATAAAAGCGATCTGAAGAGTTATCATCCTCTTAAATTGTGAATTTTGTTTAAGGTCTTCGATTGTAGACAGGTGACCACAACCAGCGGAATGTTTGAAGCTCTTTGCAATCATATTAAATATAGCACAAACAAAGGAAATATAAGGTTAGTAAATTGTTTAAAACAATAAAACTGGCAGTTTTAAAATCAATATTTTTTTTTTATTTCAACCACAAAATAATCTTAAGAACCTTTTTAATTAATAAAATACTGCTGAATCTCGAATACTACTAGATCTACTTTTAAAAGAAATTTCACTTTTCGGGTGTTCTTTTTTTTATAGAATAATGGTGACAAACGAGCACACAGTCCACCTGATGGTAAGTGGATGCTATGGTCCAAAGACATCTACATTTATCCTCAATTAAGAATCAAAATGCAGATGCGTTGTCACCCCTGAGGACTGAGATGGAATGCCTCGTTTCCAGTAAAAAGGGTCTCCGGTTCTCTACACTCACCATACGAAACACAGCAACATTAAACTGCTATTTTACGATGGTATTCTGCGAGAGCATGGTCCTACCCCGGACTAGCCGACCCATTCGTGCTACAACCATAATATAGCGGCAGCATAGCTCTACCACCTTCAAAATCAATTTAAGAAAAATAATTGAGCGAAACAAGAATAGCCATTGAAAGATAACAATAAAAGCCTACGTCTTCCTAATGTTTACAAAAACGTAATGAGTATATTCTATGTGATGATTACAATACTTAGGTACCTAAGATTGCAGTTATAAGCAATAATATTCAGAAATAGTATTTTTTTTGAAAATTACCGTTCAGCTTCGATGTTATCAGCATTTTATCTAAACTAATAAATTTTCTTTTAGGTCCGCTATTACAGTATTCCCTCAACGTACGGACGGTAAGCACGACTACAGGATATGGAACAGCCAGTTAATAAGCTATGCCGGCTACAAGCAACCGGATGGCACTGTACTGGGAGATCCAATGCATTGCGAATTCACAGAGGTTAGTTGGCTAAAGATAAAAAAATGTAGCAGCAATAAATATTTTAACAAAGGTGACAAATATTAAACAGAGGTATAAAAGTAAGTAAATATCAAAATTAGAATAGGTTAAGAAATATACAAAAATACTACAATACAGTAAGTCATATATATTCTGACATGTAAGCCACACACAAATAAATCGTTATATGAATATTTTCAATTAAGAAGACCTAGAAGATATTATGTCTTTTGACAGGCTACTATTATCATTAACATCCACTGCTGAATAAAACTATGTAACTACTAACTACGGAGTTCAATGCGTTTAATTCACTTATTTTTAATCACGATTTTTCGGGTGCTTTGCAGCACCCATGGTCGCGGGTGAAACTGAGATGATTAACATCTCGATGTCAAAGTTAACCCGGAGTACCTTCAGCTTTTTAATCATTATTTTTGCGTCAATCTACACAGAATACTGCGATAATATTTGTAAAAATTGTTTTATTCAATTTGTAGTGTATGCGTAAACATAACAAATAATCATCCAGTACTGTACATAGACCTTTCATATTATTAGTCGCTGTCCTTCTATGCGCTTGCCAGTACAAAACTGTCACTCGAGAAGCTTACTTCCCAATTTCCAGATTCGTTTTCATATGTATTCCAGATATCAAATGCTACTTTTCGCTTTTGATTGATTTCTACTCCATCTCAAACATCATCCTAACACATTTTCTACTGACTTCAAAAAGGAGGAGATACTCAATTCGACTGTATGTTTTTATGTGTGTTACCTTATAACTTTTTTCTGGGTGAACCGATTTCGATGATTGCTTTTTCTTGTTTGAAAGCTGGTGCTGCTCATGTGGTCCCATATAAATTTGATCAAGGTCTGACCAATAGTTTGAGTTATTAATAATTTATATTGAAGTCGGTTGTACAACATTTTTAATTTTAAATTATATCAAAAAAATGTCAATGAAAAAGATCAACCCCTTTCTGCTTTATCATCATCATCATCATCATCATTACAGCCTTTCATAAGTCCACTGCTGAACATAGGCCTCCCCCAATAAATGACACAAAGCATGGTCCTAAGCCACCTGCATCCATCGACTTCCTGCATGTCTTACCAGGTCGTCACTCCATCTCTTGGGCGGTCGCCCTACACTTAGCCTACCGGTACGCTACGGTACGAGGCTGCCACTCGAGAACCTTTCTTCCCCATCGATTGTCGGTTCTTCGAGCTATATGGCTGGCCCACTGCCACTTCAGCTTACTAATCCGTTGGGCTATGTCGGTTACTCTGGTTCTACTGCGGATATACTCATTTCTAAGTTTATCACGCAAAGAAACCACGAGCATAGCCCTCTCCATAGCTCGCTGAGCGACCTTGAGCTTCCTCATATGGCCAGCAGTGAAGGACGAACTACGTCTCAGATCCGTAAGTCATCACTGGCAACACGCACTGGTTGTACAATTTCGTTTTAAGGTTTTGAGGTATGTCGGACGAAAAGATGTGTCGTAGTTTCCCGAACGCTGCCCAGCCGAGTTGAATCCGTCGATTGACCTCTCGGTCGAAGTTGGACTTACCTAGTCGGACTATTTGTCCCAGGTAAACATACTCGTCAACAACTTCGAGCTCAGTGCTCCCAACAACTACTGGCATAGGTTTGACATGGACATTAAACATGATCTTTGTTTTGTCCATGTTCATCCTAAGACCTATTCGTTGGGGGACACTATTGAGGTCATTGAGCATGGTGCTTAGGTCCTCCGGCGATTCTGCCATAAGGACTATATCGTCGGCAAATCGAAGGTGAGTGATGTACTCGCCATTGATGTTAATACCGTATCCTTTCCAGTCCAGAAGCTTGAAAACGTCTTCCAATGCAGCGGTGAAGATTTTCGGGGATATAACATCACCCTGTCTTACACCCCTCTACAATTGGATAGGTTTCGTACTCTGGTTCTATACTCGGATAGCCATCGTAGCTCTACTGTACAAACACTTCAGTACTTCGATATACCGACAGTAAACTTGGCACCGCTGAAGGGACTTCAGCACCGCCCGAATTTCGACGGAATCAAAGGCTTTCTCATAGTCCACATACGCCAGACATAGTGGCAAATTGTACTCCTCGGACGTCTGTACAATTTGCCGAAGGGTATGTATGTGGTCCATGGTGCTAAAGCCCTTTCGGAAACCGGCTTGTTCGGGAGGCTGAAAGTCGTCAAGTCTGCGCGCGAGACGATTCGTAATGACTCTCAGAAACAACACGTAGACGCGGCTCAGAAGGGAAATCGCTCTGTAGTTCTTCAAGAGAGCGTTGTTACCTTTCTTGAAGAACAAGACCACCGCACTTCTGCTCCACGCCTCCGGTGTAATGCCACCATCGAGGACGGAATTAAAGAGCTTCTGAAGGACTTCAGGTACCGGTCTTCCACCCACATTCAGAAGCTCCGCTGTAATTCCATTCTCGCCTGGGGCCTTGCCGTTTTTGAGGTGCTGGAGAGCCATTCTAATCTCTCTCAGACTGACGTCCGGGATATCTTCGGAATAGTGTCGGATAAGACTCGCTCTTGGATCGTTACTCACACCTACGTGTGGCTCCAACGATGACGTGTACAGCTGCCCATAGAACCTCTCAATCTCACTCAAAATCTCAGGTGCCCCGGAAACGATACTGCCACACTCGATCTTCAGCTTTGACAGTTGGCTCTTTCTGGCAGACAGATCTCTGGCGAAGACTTTGGAGCCTTGGTTCCGCTCGATCGCTTCTTCAATACAAGCTGTATTGTGGCTCCAACGATGACGTGTACAGCTGCCCACAAGCTGTATTGTGTTCTTCTGCGGCGGGTCTTGCAGAACTTAGCTCCGACCGCATGGACAGTTTCCACGAGCTTGTCATTCATATCGTCCACTTCATTGTAGTCTTCTAGGTACTGAAAACGGTTTTGTAACTCGAGCTGATTGGTTTCGGACTTTGGAACAGAGCACGAGGGGGACGGAGCGTTGACTTCATTAGACGAGACCTCTATAACTTAACGTTTAGGTTCAGTGTGCCTCTAACCATTCGCTGATCGCTACCAGTTTTCACGCTCGCGATCACGGAGACATCACTGAACAGTTGTCGTCTGGTCGTCATAATGAAGTCAATCTCATTTTTTTGGAACCGTCGGGGCTCGACCAGATCCACTTCGAAAGAAGAGTTCCACAGAAGAAAGAGTTCATCATAAAGAGTCCCTCTTTCTCCATGAAGTCGGCCAGCTGCTGGCCCCTTGGGTTCCGTTGCCCTATTCCAAATTTCCCTACTTTCAGCTCACCGTTCTCTCTTGTGCCTAGTTTTGCATTGAAGTCTCCCATTAACACCGTATAGTGGATTTTGGAGGAATTAATGGCTCTAGAGATATCCTCATACATTTCCTCCACCTCCTCGTCGGGGTGTGCCGAGGTTGGTGCGTAAACCTGTATGACCTTCAGCGAATACCGTTTGGTGATTCTGAGTATACGGTACGCATCCCTCGTCGACACACTCTCAATCTTTACAACGTTGTTAACGAGAGACTTGTGGACGATAAATTCGACACCTCCTTGGGACAGATGTTCGCCCTCCTGGTGATATACCAAGCTGCGGGATTCAAGGATTACCGTGTCCTCCCTCTCTCTTCGGACTTCGGATAATCCTATAATATGCTAGCGTAACTTGTCTATCTCTTCTTCCAGCTCCACGATCTTCTCGTCAGTCCTCAGGGTGCGTGCGTTGTATGTTGCCAGGTCGAGTCATCTTAGGTGGCAACCGAACCTCCACCGGAGATTTTTAGCACCCCCTGCCCCGCCGTTACCATGGTCGCCACCGTAGCCGGGAATAGCGGGGAAACCGGGGACTGGGGGCCGTTTCTTTGATACTCTCATTCATAGGGGGGTATTTGCCATAGTTGCCACGCTTAGCGTGCGGGTTGGCAGCAGCAGTTTTATTATTGTAAGTTTGTTGTTATCAGGAAGATGCTGCTGCCCATCTCCTGCCTGTTTCCCTTTGTCACCTTTTACGACACCCACGGGAAGATATGGGGTATTGGATATTCTTAACCGCCACTACATGGCAAATTCTGCTTTATAATAGTACAGAATATAATATTAGTATAGTGGTTGTTAATCAAAATGAGCTTACATTCAACCCGATATTAATTTGCTACATCAAAGTACAGTAAAGAGATAAAAATTACAAACGTTATTATAGCGAAAATGAAAAAGAAAATATTATGGCACTTAGAGCTGGATTTTTCGATCATTAGATTAAATAAATTAACATTAAAAGTTATTCATTGTATAAAATACAACATTTCTGTATATACTCGTAAAATCAATTGCTGCCCGGTAGTCTCGCAAACTAGAAAATGGCTAGACCGATATTGATGAATTTTTTGTGTGTGTTGGAATGCGTTTCTGGATGGTTTAAATTTACAATTGGTCCCGGTAGGTGGCGCTGTTATCGCGGTCCTGATATCACCCGTGCGAAGCTGTGCCGGATCTCTAGTAAAAAAATATAAAATTATAGTTGTATGAAGAAATTAGTTCATTTCACTTTTATATTCAATCAGGCTAATAATTTGATAGATAATATTTATCTAACCATTGACAAATTAAATTAAAATAAATAATTATTTATTGTTAACTGTTACACATTTCAGAAGAGTTGTAAATATGCTGTTGCGCTGAAAATGAAAAATTTCAATTTACTTACTGTAGGCCATTAATCACTCAAAATTGACTATTCGAAATCGGCTGCACCTGGCTCGTTATATTTACAACAACTTCAATCTGCCATTTTGATTTTATGAATATTTATTGGTCTATGAATCTTAAACTATATTACGCTTAACGTTAAAAGCATTTTTGTAAAAACAAATAATTTTGCAATCAGTGGTGTTATGGCGTATAGCTCAAATATGTAATAGTATTTTATTGTTTCAATGCTTATACCATTTGCTATGCAATTGACATTATTCATTCATTCCTTCATTACAGCCCTTCACAAGTCCACAGCTGAACATAGGCCTCTTCCAAAGAACGCCACAAAGCACGGTCCTGAGTCACCTGCATCCATCGACTTGCTGGATCCTTACAAGGTCTTCACTCAATCTAGTGGGGGCCACACACTTCGCTTATCGGTGCGAGGCTGTCACTCGGCACCCTTTCTTTTTCAGCAGTTCAGCAGTGGGCTTGTCAGGTTTTAATGCTGATGATAAAATGCAACAATAATGCAGTATTAATTATAGACAATTAGAATAATAATATAAATAGATAATAATAAAGGGCATTAGAATAGCACAAAATAATTTCATTATTCAATATAAGCCACAAAAATACTTATTAAATGTTAAGTCATCAGTAAGAAATGCGATTATCATTGATTTGAAAAAAATACCTCTGTCTTAGGAAGAACTTGCAAGAAACCCAGCGGTACTTTTTTAAATATTTATTCACAAAATGTTATGTTGTATAATTGCAGCATGATAACTATCACTTGATAGTAACGTCTCAATATGGTAGTCTCTGGTATAAATTTTAACTTTCTCTTCATCTTGCACAATGGACTGCTTAAGAGGTCGTGTCTCTTAAGCATTAACCAGCCAGACATAAATCTTTGTCATAGTATGGTTATTATTATTCCACGATGCAATCAAAATTAAGAAAGCTATAAATTTTTTTAAGTAGTTTGTAGATTTATTTAACAATAAATAAAATTTATTACCGCAAATATATTTCGCCCATTTAGGAAGATCAGGTGCATTCTAACTTAGCTCATAGGTGATTTTACAGTAATCTAAATAGTCAATAATATTGCAGTTGTGTCTCAAACTGGGATGGAAGCCGCCCCGAACCGCCTGGGACATATTGCCTCTGGTGTTGTCTGCTAATGGAAAGGATCCGGACTACTTTGAGATCCCTCGGGACCTTGTCATGGAAATACATATGACCCATCCGACGTAAGTGTTTCGAGGAGTTGTATCTTTTATCGAACTTTATTACGTTTCCGTAACTGAGAAGTTTTTAAAATTGTGTTATACAAAAAAGAAATGTGGATACATTTGCAATATTTTACTTTACATGTTCATTCCTTGCTTGCGTGTTAGAAACATTATTTGTATTGTAGTTATTTTTATCATATAGGCACTGGTAATAAAATAACCCTTTTACTGGTAATGAGGCATTACATTTTTGTATTCAAGGGTGATAACGCTTATCTGATAATAAACCGATGATAGATATGAATGTCTATGGGTCACGGCATTCACTCACCAATGCGTGGACTGCGTGCTTATTTAGCATACTTCTTTTATGAAAATGGATGCCTTTTTGGGAATACTTTTTAGGTATTGTCATCATCTTCTTCATTATCAGTCCATAAAAGTCCACTGCATGTTGGAAGAATTTTTCATTATTAATTCGAGAATTTCAAATCCACGCTTGGATTGGTGATCGTATTTAAACTATAATATTATAACGCCTTGCATCTTTGACCCTCCTCCCCGTCGCCAGACGTGATATTATACATCTAGTATAATTGAGGTGATTATACCGACGTCTTTCGGAAGTCATGGGTAGCCATGGGTCTTAAGACACGCCACCCACGAAATATGGTAATACATTGTCTTACGCCGCCAGCTTAAGGCAAATTAACATTTATATTTATCCAATCACCTTATTTTTCAACCGACTTCATTTAATTAGTTAGGTTGATTAAGGTGTGACCAGTAGTTTTTGAGTTATTTAAGTATAACGTAAAAACTACTGGTCAGACCAATTTATATTGAAGTCAGTTGTAAAAAAATTTTAATTTTACCACATGTTGTCGTATTATTAAAATAACTTGTGATAAACTAGTAACTTAATATAATATAAAACTTTCTATTAAAATTGCTTTATGAAAAATGTAATACGATAAAGTGTAAGAAAGATTATATATTGCAATCATCGTTATCAATATAAGACGTCAACAATGTATTACATGGCTACTTATGAACAACACGTTAACCGCTTTCCATCAAGAATTTATGCCCACATAAAAAGGCGGAGAATGCATGTTGTGCCACGTAGAGGTAAACGTCGCAAAAAGACGACTACAATCCGCCCATACGGAGTAGATTGCTTATCGTAAAACTGTGGTCCAGTGATCGCCAATCTACGTTTATGGTCTATAAATCCAAGCCCATTCAATAATGTATCGCCATTGATAATGTTAACAGGCGTTAATGGGTTATAAAAAGGTGTGATAAATTTGATTGAGAGGGACGATATCTTTCTGGCCAGAAAATACATCGATAATACGGGCATAAAAATTCAATTATAATAACAATGAAATTTTATTAAAAATAGATCCGTTTGTACTATTTTTCTTTGAAATATTATTTATTATTACAGCCTATTAAAGTCCACTGCTAAACATAGGCCTATATTACGGGGTATTATTATTAGTTGCCACGCTTGGTAGGCAAGATGGCAACCGCATTTTTTTTATTTTCTAGTTGTTATTAGGATGACCTGCTCAAAGTTCAAAAACTTTGTTAAACTAAGTTTGTATAAAAAGGGTTATTATAATATTAAGGAATTTCTGGATGATAATAACCCCTGGGAATGAAGTGATCGCTACCAAGCCATTTCTTTTACCATTTGCTATTTCTTTTAAACGTGGTAGAGCCATGCTGCAGCTGCAGTAGTATAGTTGTAGCACGAATGGGTCGGCTCGACCGGGAAAGGACCACGAATACCGACCAGAATACCAGCGTAAAATAGCAGTTTAAGATTGCTGTGTTTAGTATGGTGAGTGTAGAGAACCGGAGACCCTTTTTACTGGAAAAGAGGCATTCTATGTTTAATCCTCACGAGTGACAACGCATCCGCATTTTGATTCGCAAACGAGGATAAATGTAGATGTCTATGGGTTACAGCTACCACTCACCATCAATTGGACTATGTGTTCGTTTGTCACTCGATACTATGAAAATATTCTAATTTGTTGTGTTGTTAATTGTGTAACATACATGATTGTAAGCTGTTATTTAAAAAAAAGTCCCGCTGGATTTCTTGCTGGTTCTTCCCAGGATAGAGTTTTTTTTTCGAACCAGTGGTAATTAAACAAAAGAATACTCCTGCGCATGTCCTGGTTCGTTTCCTTCGGTCACCTCTTACGACACCACAGTTCGATATGGGGTAGTGGCTATTCTTACACTCACATTACACGGTTAAGGATCCTTGTGAGTCAGTTGTATTAACATATCTAAAAAAGTATTTCGAAGCAGATTTATCAATCATAAATATGTTTGTTATTTGCTTGAGATAAATTGTAATATTCTTATTATACCTGAAAGAGAACGGTGTTTATGAACGTTCAGCAAAGACATTCAGAATATAAGAAACAAATTATCAGTATGCGAGAATTGACTTCAATGTAACTAATAGTATTATACTTATACCAAAACACAGCATTTAATCGACGTTTCTTGTAAAGTCTGCTCGGTAAGCAAATTCATGAGAGACAGTCCTTCCGTTATTTTTTTTTTTTTTGAACTTTGACTTCCGTCTTACATATATATCTCTTAATTTGAAAGAACTATGTTCAACATCGACGATTGACCATTTACAAAGATTACAAATATGATGCAGGTCGTTTCGTATCTCACAAATGAGTGATACTTCTGTTAATTTTTTCTAGGCAGTAATTACTCACATTTTTGAACATAAATAATCGCACTAGATTTGCTTTATATTTGAACGTCGATTTTGTAAAATCTCACTTACACAATAAGTAAACAAATAGTCTTTGTTCGGTTCGCTGTGTTGAGTGTTGTTATTGTGTAATGCGAATCGGAAAAATAATATAAACTAAGTTACACCAGAATTTTTACAGAATAAACGCAGTAGCGTCTTAACAGATTTTAATTTGACCTATTAAAACCAAAGTGAGAAGAGTGTCAATAATAGGAAACAAAGATATAAGAGTATCTACATCGTTTTAGTTATTACTTATTTACGAAAAGACTTCAGTCAGATCGACATTATTCAAGCAAGTGATGAGCAATTTCTACTTCATTCAAATGAGTTCAGATATCTTCAGAATTTGTTACAAGGATTTTGAATGTATATTAAAACTCCACATAAAAATACTGCATTCTTCATTAGGATGGCAGAATTGCACTCATAGTTTTATACAAAATAATCACAAATTAATTAATTTTGATTTACTTTTCTTCTTCATCAAGCAACGGTAAAAGTCACTGCTGGACTCTAGCCTCTCCCGTTGTAGGGAATATTTACCATATTCATCATGTTTGCCAGGTGGAATAACGATACCAGTACTAGTCGTCTCGCAACTTGGACGTCTGTCTGAAGTAAACGAAACGATTCCGAGAGAGGCTAATAAGATCTTTCTGACGGTTTCCAATAGTCACCTCTTACGCCGGCCACGCGGCAGTTTTACTCAAAACCACACTCATTTTATATATTTTTTATAGGATAGAGTGACAAACGAGCACACAGTCCACGTGATGGTAAGTGGTTGCTGTGACCCATAGACATCCACATTTATCCTCAATAAAGAATCAAAATGCAGATGCCTGAGGACTAAGATGGAATGCCTCTTTGGCAGTAAAATGGGTCTCCGATTCTCAACACTCACCATACGAAACACAGCGGCGCTAAGCTGGTATCTTAGGCTGGTATTCTGTGCGAGCGTGGTCCTTCCCCGGTCGGGCCGACTCATTCGTGCTATAACTATACTACTAATATAGCTGCAGCATGGCTCTACCACGTCTAAATTATATTTAAGTAGTTTTGTACTATTTTATTAAGAAATATAGATTTTTCTTCATTAGCGGTATCTCCTCGAAATCCACTGCTAGATGCCTTTTTAAGAATAAAATCCTTTAATTAAAATGTTTATCCATATTCATCATGCTTAGCACGCTGAGCAATTTAATAAATGCAAAACCAATACCCTCATACCGGTAATGAAATTAAATTAAATTAAACATAAATTCTGTCTTTTAAAGGAAAATTAAATGCTAAAATAATGTTTCCTATTCTCTGTATGTGATTATGCTGGTCACTGAAGCAATTTTTCCTTAATAAGCAGTGTGCACAGCATGCACGTCGGCGAGATTAGCATTTAGAGAAGTTGTACAGTCTACTTTACTCAAATAGTTAAAGATAAATACGGAAAAGAGGATGTATACTTGTACGTTTTGGACGTGCAGGATTCCTTAAGATATTTCACGCCCAAGCTCTATGTAAATTGCAAAAAATACTGCGTTGCAACAAATTACTTGTTTAACGTAACATCGCTATACGTGAATCATCTATAATTTCCGATTTCGCATTATTAACTCAGCGGTGAATATTTATTGCAGAGCAAGCTCGGAAAACTGTTGCGGAAAAAGTGAGAGAGAAATCTTTCTTCATGTAAAGTAAAAAAATTTTTTACGAAAAAATATTCAGATTTAGACATATACTGGTTGTCCATCAGTGAGAATGAGAAATAGTGTTTTATGCTGTGAATATATTATATTTCCAAAAAAATCACCGTTTGTAACAAATTTTTATTTGCCTGCTCTTTTTACACTTCACCCTGAATATCATATTGATATTTTAACGTGTAGGAATGAGATTATGGTCTTTTCGACCAATTTAATTTTTTCGGATTCGGATCCACTGATCGGCGAATTTTATTTCCTACTAGCTGGTATCCGGCGCGTTGCTGCCGTAGATGAAGTAGTTATGGAAATATTGTTTTAAATTTGGAAGAGTTTAATAGTTTAATAAAGAATGATAATACATTTATTGAAGTTGAATGATACATAACTTTCAAATTAATGGCCTGCTGCTGTCTTTTTGTTTGTTGAAAATAATAAATTCCTTAAAATTTGTTTTATTTAATGTCTAGTAAATCTGAAATCCTTCCAAAACATCAGATATCAAAATATAACTACGCTTCTAAGTAACGAGACATTTTACACTACGATCGCCGTCAACCTCTGACGGCTCCGTGTCTCCGTGGCTTAGCAATGAGTTGCTGCGCTGGGGGCCGCGGGTTCGGATCCCGCACGGAACAAGTATTTGTATGGCCTGCAAATAATTGTTCCGGGTCTGGATGTTTATCCTTGTGCAATTTATGTTTGTAAACTGCCTCCACAATCCTAGTGTGGGGGTAACGTTTTCTAAGAGAAAAAAAAAAAGCCTGACGAAATAGTGTGATGTTTCTTTTTACAATGGGCGATGTTCATGTCCTTTCGTGGATTGCTACGCGCTGATGATGAAAAAAATAAAATGATATCTCAATTTAGAATTTCTTTGCAGATACGAGTGGTTCGAAGAACTGGAACTACGTTGGTATGCCTTACCCGCGGTCTCCAATATGCGATTCGATTGCGGGGGTATCGAGTTCACTGCGAACGCTTTCAACGGCTGGTATATGAGCACTGAAATAGGATGTCGTAACTTTTGCGACAATAATCGTCTTAATATGCTGGAAGTGAGTATCAGTTTAATGCTATCGAAATACAAAGGGGCACCAAGCAGGTATAGCGATCTGCGCTGATAGTTTTTATTCCTGGAGAAATATAATGGAAATTTTGAATTAAAGTATCTCTGTTAGAACTAGATAAATTATTGGAAATAAATATTTCACATTTATTGCTATCAACGGTTATTTGCTGGGTCAAGTTTTAGTTGAGATCTCTTAATTAATATACATAAAAATTCCAATTACTTTAACCGTGGCAAAGCACAAAACGTACAAGGACTAGACATGAATATTTATATGAATATTTAATTTACAAAATAAAAGAAAAGTAAAAGTAAATAAATAAAAGCATAAAAAAATAAAAAAATATTATTGACAGATAGTTGACAAATGTCATGGTCATTGTCATGGTCATTGTCATGGTCATTGTCATGGTCATTGTCATGGTCATTGTCATGGTCATTGTCATGGTCATTGTCATGGTCATCGTCATCGTCATCGTCATTACCATAGTAATCGTCATCATCATCGTCGTCGTCATTGTCGTTGTCGTTATTGTCCTCGTCATGATTCAATCAAAGGTTATCGTCATGGTAATCGTCAAGATTATCATAATTGGTCATCTTCATCGTCATCGTTATGGGCATTGTCATGGTCATCATCATCGCCATGGTCATCGTCATCGTCATCGCCGTTGTCATCACCATCACCATGGTCATGGACATGGTCATCGTCATGGTCATCGCCATGGTACTTGTCATAGTCATCGTCATGTTCATCGTCATGGTTATCGTCATCGTCATGTTCATCGTCATGGTTATCGTCATCGTCATGGTCATCGTCATGATCATCGTCATGGTCATGGTCATCGTTATGGTCATCACCATGGTACTTGTCATAGTCATCATCACGTTCATCGTCATGGTTATCGTCATCGTCATGGCTATCGTCATGGTCATCGCCATGGTACTTGCCATAGTCATCGTCATGTTCATCGTCATAGTTATCGTCATCGTCATGTTCATCGTCATGGTTATCGTCATCGTCATGGTCATCGTCATGATCATCGTCATGGTCATGGTCATCAACATGGTCATCGCCATGGTACTTGTCATAGTCATCGTCATGTTCATCGTCATGGTTATCGTCATCGTCATGGCCATCGTCATGGTACTTGTCATAGTCATCGTCATGCTCATCGTCATGGTTATCACCATCGTCATGGCCATCGTCATGGTTATCGTCATCGTCATGGTCATCGTAATGATCATCGTCATGGTCATGGTCATCGCCATGGTACTTGTCATAGTCATCGTCATGGTCATCGTCATGGTTATCGTCATCGTCATAGCCATCGTCATTGGTCGTTGTCATGATCGTCGCCATGGTAATCGTTATTGTCATTGTCATCGTCATGGTTATCGTCATGGCCATTGTAATCGTCATGGATATCGTCATGGCCATCATCACAAGTAGATGTAGATGGTTTACTTGGTGTTCTCCTTTTTGCCCAAGGATCCGTCTGGATAGCTTCTCTTACCTACTTCTGCCGCCAAATAGTTTATACTTATTACTTGCACTGCAGTGTTCTTGTCCGAAGGGTATCACCTATCGGCTCTTATCTAATTAGCGGTATTTGGGCCAAATAGTCTCTTTCCAGATAAGACAAGACAAAGAAGTTTTGTATGACGCACCGAAAACACCTGGAAGAGTTACTAGTCTATGAAGGATCTTATGAAGAGTGGTCTTCCTTTATCCCTGAAAAGGAAATTCATGGACGTGTGCATACTTCCCATCCTCACCTATGGTGTCCAGACATGGTCTTTGACAGTTCAGCAGAGGTCCACACTTGAGGTTTGTCAAAGAGCAATGGAACGGAGCATTATCGGCATTAAGCTTGTAGACCGGATTAGGAATGACGAAATCCGTTCCAAATCAAAAATTACTGATGTCACACAAAAAGCTGCATACTAAAATGGGACTGGGCTGGACACATCTGCCGAATGCCAAATGAACAATGGGAAAAAGTGACACCTTAATGGGCTCCTATAAGAAGTAGACGTCAGCTGGGCAGATCCAGGCGGAGATGGCGGGATGAACTAGACTCCTTCATGAAGGACTGGTCTATGGTGGCTCTGGAGAGATAGAAGTGGAAAGGGAGTAGAGAGGCCTTTGCCCTGCAGTGGGATATTTTAGGCTAGTAATAATAATAAGTAATAATAACTGCGTAGAATGACTTAAACGGACTCAATCGCGCACGGCACCTACAGTGAACTTTATGCACAAACGAGTGGGTGGTTTCTCGATATACCCAATTCCACCTCGCCACCATTGATATGACGCTGCGCTAGAGTTGCCCACTCTCGGTCCAATATTTCGGATTCGGTATTTTATAGATGCACCGACAAATGTATATATAAACCGTATCTATCTATCTAAGATAACGGAGAAAGAATTTTGTGCGGGTAACGTTATTTAAAACTAAAGAAAATATAAAAGAAAAAAATATATATGCTTACGTTTATACTAAACGTCCACATGATTTATTTCCCTGAATTTTAATTTCAATTATGTTTTATCCCAGGCAAATTATCATTAAAGGAACTTGAATTTAACATTCTAAATTTTAGAGTAAACATTTGTTTCGCGCAAGGAGATGAACAAGCGCAAAGAATTTAAAATTCTTTTCAAGAACGGAAAAACTCGGATTAAATTTCCAACGACTGAGATAAACTTCAATTTACATGAGCTGCATACCAGAGCTGAAATTTAAGGAACTAAGATCTCAGTGATATTTTTATAAGGTTCAGATTTTTAAAATGAAGTTTTGTTTTACTATTTTATTCCATTTGAATGTCATAAGAGACAATTACAGTAAATTCAGAAAGACTTCTTGGCATTCGATAGTTTATATAGTATACCTATACCATCCACTACAGCCACTTTGGTCTAGTGGTCGGTAGCAAAACGAGGCATTCCATCTCAGTTTTCACGGCTGACGACGCATTTGCATTTTGATTCTTAGTCGTAGATAAATGTAGATGTCTATGGGCTGCAGCATCCACTTCCTATTAGGTGGACTGTGATTTTGTTTGTCACCCTTATTCTATAAAAAAAATAGACACAGTTTCGATGAAGAAATAACCTAATCTTTACTATATACAGGGTTAATTTTCAAAGAGTAGCCAATTTTTACAGTAAAAAGATTTGGGAAGAAGTAAAAAGTGTAACACATCTGAATAAGCATAGACTAGAGGCAAACGACTTGCTGGAAAAATACTCCACTCGGATAGAATCTGTTAATGAAGTTAATAAATATTATATTAACGTCGGTGCGAAATTAGCCAAAAAAATCCTAATAAGCAATTACAGTAAACCTGATATAAACCAAACTACGAACAAATCATTTGTTATGCTAGATACTGATCACGATGAGATACATAATCTCATTATGTCATTAAAAAATAGTTGTACTACAGGATGAGATGGTATATCAAGTGATTTACTAAAGACCTACAAAGATATACTTGTTCCCCCGATAACATACCTGTGCAACATTTGTCTTTCTACTGGCATCTTTCCTCGTGCTTTTAAGAAAAGTATTATTCGCCCAATTTACAAAAGTGGTGACAGAGGCATTGTCTCCAATTACCGACCCATATCAATTTTAACATCGCTATCAAAAATTCTGGAACACGTGATCAATAAAAGACTTGTTAACTACCTAGAAACAAACAAGCTTCTTTCGGAGCAACAATATTGTTTTCGTGCAGACAGGTCCACAGATGATGCGGTTCACGAGCTCATAGATCGTATAATTCGGGGAATGGATGACGGTAAAAAGTGCCTTGCAATATTCCTAGACTTAGCGAAGGCGTTAGACACTGTCTGTGTCCCGCTTCTAGTAAATAAGCTTGAGAGACTAGGGTCAGGAATTTGCAGCTAGATCTGTTTATAAGTTACCTTACAGGTAGAACATAGTGTGTTCAAATTGGAGAGCACATCGGCGAGGAAGAAACAATAACGTACGGAATAACATACGCCAAGGCAGTATATTGGGCCCGACCTTATTTTTGATTTACATCAATGATTTGTGTTCATTGAAGGTATCTAGTGGGACTTTCTGTCCTTTGCGGATGATACAGCATTAGTTTTTAGCGGCGATAATTGGAAAGATACGTTTGCTTATGCACAATCTGGATTAAATAGAGTTCTTAAGTGGTTAAATGGGAATCTACTAACGATTAATATCGACAAAATCAAATTTGTTACATTTGCCATACGTAATGTCTCTCTCCATTTAGATAAAAACCTTTCACTCATAGCCCATACCTGCGATCTCGTAAATATATGTAGCTGTACCAGATTAGAAACTGTTACCAAAATTAAATACCTGGGCATAATCATTGACCAGAACTTATCTTTTAGCCCTCATATTGAACAACTTACGGCTCGTGCACGTAAGCTCATATACGTTTTTAGAACACTTCGTCAAATTGCTGACTTCAAAATTATACGCAGCGTTTATTTTGCTCTTTGTCAATCCATATTCTCATATTGTATTTCTGTATGGGGAGGTGCAGCTAAATCCTATTTAAGATCTCTGGAGGTGGCCCAAAGAGCAATCTTAAAGGTTGCAAAGTTTCACCATTTCCCTAATCCGACTAGAGATTTATATAATTAATGGAATGTACTAACAGTTCATCAACTCTTTATACTGTATATTGTCTTAAAACAACATTCTAAAACTTCGTACGACCCTTCGACACAACGCTTAAGGAGAAAAGATATTGTCTGTGTCCACCAAAGATTTAGAACAGCATTTGCAAAGAGAGTTTTTTGTTTTATTGGACCGTTACTATATAATAAGTTAAAGCGTATACTGGCTATATAGCCAAACTGTAAACTGTAAATATACTTTAAATACAGCAAACTGTAAATATACTTTAAAAACATGGTTACTGACGAAAGACTATGATGAAAATGAGGCACTTATCAAAACAATGTGA